ATTATATCACGTTTCGTTTGTATTCTGCATATTTTTCTGCATATCCTGCACATTTTTCTGCATGTCCAGAGTATTTCGTGCACATTTACTTAAATCTTTCTCGCGTATTTGTTGCACATTCTGACATATTTACTTGCACAAACATGCACAGACCAGTTACAAAGAACCGAAACTGATTGCGATGCCCCCAGTTTCAGAGTATTTCCNTATATATATATATATAATAATTTCTAATAATATATATATATATACTAATATTATATAGTATAGTATATAATATATATTATATACTAATAATAATTTCGCAGAAGAAAAATAATATTGATATTTATTATATATATAATAAATATCAATATTATTTTTCTTCTGCGGTATTATTATTAGTTCGCGCATGTTTAACCCTTAAACGGACTGCTGATTATTGCTTCAGTTACTGTTTCGGTAAGTATTGTATATTTATAAATTAGTAAATGCAAGTAAATTTATGCGTTGAAATATATATTGCAAACTTGATGAGTTAATAGAGGATTACATGAATTTTTAAATAATTACATTAACGTATTATATTAATGATGATTGGTTTTAAGTTGCGTGGAATTAGAATCGATTCGTAGATAAATTAAACTGATCAACACAAAGTTATAGCATTTTTATGTAAATGCATATTTCTGTAGGAAATAGATGAAATTATGGCACTTGGACAGAAATTTGTTTTGTCACTAGAAGATTCCAAAAATATATTTTTTATTTTGCATATTTTGCATATGTTCTGCATTTATTGTTCTTTATTTTAACAACATATGCGCAAATATAATACATATTCTATGCATGTGTAATACCATATCTATTGTATATATTTTATACATGAATCTGTTTAACATGTGTTACATATGCATATAACGTATTATTGATAAACATCGGTGATCCAAGATCACAGACATTTTCAAGGTATTCTTGAGAGACGCAAACAATATTGATGGTTGAAAATGAGTTATCGGAAGAAATATAAATTATAACGTGATATTAAATGTAGCTGACATTTCAGAAGCTGCAGCTGTTGAAAGACCAAAGAAGCTTAAGGCACGCTACTGGCACAAATTAAAATATGACGCTATTACATTTTGCGATATCGAATTATCTCTCTCGGCGTACAAATTAATATTTATCGATAACCTTGAAAAACCATGGCAATTTATTGTAATTCTAATTATAGAAAGTTAAAATGACAATATAAATTATATCACGTTTCGTTTGTATTCTGCATATTTTTCTGCATATCCTGCACATTTTTCTGCATGTCCAGAGTATTTCGTGCACATTTACTTAAATCTTTCTCGCGTATTTGTTGCACATTCTGACATATTTACTTGCACAAACATGCACAGACCAGTTACAAAGAACCGAAACTGATTGCGATGCCCCCAGTTTCAGAGTATTTCCGCGATTATAACTCGCCCTCACCGGGTTACAGGGGTCGCGAGAACCGAGTCTGATACGTGTTCCGTTTCTGACCTCCGAAGAAAGGAGAAATCGATTGTCACGTAGCCACAGAGCTTGCATATTAAAATACGGTTAGAGCGAGAAGCTCGTTCTCACGTTAAACGCGGCCAATTAACAAAAAGGGCATTTCCATCGAAAGGATGACCCGGTTCTGCCTTTTCGACTGTCCTCCCCTCGTCTTCTGGCCGTCTTTCACCTTTAATCCTTTTCACTTCTGGCTGCTGCCCCTCCTTGCTCTCGCGGATCTCCTTCCCTTTTCTCTCGGCCTCGCCCCATCTCTCCGTGGCCTCTCTTCGACGTGAATTTCTATGAGATATACTCAAGGCGGGTCGGTAAGGCTTGGCCCCCTTTGAAATCCTTTTGAAGTGCAAGGAAAACTACACGGACGATCCCTTTTATCTTAACGGCCCCCAAACTTACGAAAATGGCTGAACCCTGACGTATTAATATTTCGAAATCGTCCGAGGGTAAGGTCGCTCGCTTTATGCTCGTACCCCCTTTCTCAAGGCTCGACAGTTGTTTACGCAGAAACGCGACAAATAACTGCGATTTGAAGACGTTTTTCACTCGATGGCACCAAGAGCACGCGTTTGTCGCGAGCCTTTTCAACGGGGGAGCACGGGTTGCAACGAACAAAGACGTTGCGAGCTGTTTTCTCTCTTAGGCTGCATTCAAGGCGTCGACGCCAGTCTCGTTTTAACCGGAACACTTGGCCGGCAATTATCAGCCGGACTCGCGATGAATATTTTGCACACGATTTCTAACGTATGGACCTGACTTCGTGACGTTTAACCTTTAGCACGCGAGCGGTGTCTCTGACTCGCCGCTTAACGTTGTTGTATTACGTTGCGAAATAACTTTAACATCATCGAATTTGTTTGTATTTGAAGAAACTGTTAAAAGTGTAACTGCAAGACACGAAATTCAATTTCGTACGGATAAAATGCACTTAAATCGCACGAAATGGAAATACTGCAAGTATTTTTTTGGGGGAAAGGAGATACGATTATTCGAGCCTTGCGTCTCGTTTTTATAGTTGTTGACAATCGGTAACTATAAAATCGCGAACCGCAAGTCTCGAATAATCGTACGATTTTCCCAATTCTTCCCAAATTGTCCATTTTTGTGCGCAATCTGAGCGCGAATTAGGGAGAAATTACTGTACAATTAAAGTTGCAGGACTTATGTATGCTATCGAAATAATTTAGATTTATCGATATTACCGATGAAAATTGTTGTATCTATTAGTAATGATAACTGTAATTCTTACATATGTCGTTCAAAAGAACCAGCTTGTTCCACTTTGAAGTCATTAGACGATTTTAAGAACATTGTTACGTTATTTTCGATTTATTTAAATGATTAAAGGAAGAAACACATTTTTATTCGATTTGTGTTTCTTATGATTGGTCTTTGAATATTTCAATGTTGAATAAAGATCTACAGGTCAGTTAATAATTTTTTTTAAAGCTGGAATAAAATTCTATTCTCCTGTTGTCGGTGCTTCACCATTGGAGAAAATATAGCCACACAGTACGCACAAATTTTATTATTCCTGTATTGAATTCTAAACGACACAGAATTTCTCATCACTGTAGTTTAAATAATCTTTCGAACGGTAGACTTTTGACCAGTCGGAGAATTCAACAAGGAGTAGAAAGAGGAGTAGAAAGACATACTCGACAAGAAGCCTCCTTTAGAAAATGCTGTGCAAGTAAGGGAATTCAATTTATTTACAACGTAGTCCTCGAATTTATAGCTATTTCGATTGGTATGTACGTAGTAGAGGCTTTATCCTGTCAAACTACCAATAAATTCTTTATCTTGATCCGGGATCTTGTCAAGTTCCAGCTAAAGCGAGCCTATGTAGGTCATGGTCAGTATCCCAGTATTGAAATAAGACATCGGGAATAGATGAAGTAAATATAGGGTAAACGGAATATACAGCAAGTTAAGTAAATATAATACAGGCTGAAATAGAATCATTGAAATAAATAAAACAAGATGGATCAGTTAAATAGAATAAAGTAGAACTGGAATAAGCCAATAGTATAATATAATTTTGGCTTATTAAAGTATAATGAATCAATAAAAGAAAGTACGATAAGTCAATGGAATAAAGCGTAATAAGTTAATAAAATAAAATATAATGAGTCAACTAACTAAAGCAAACGAAGTAACTACAAGAAGTATTAGAAAGATGGAAATGAAGCGAAATAAGCAAATGAATAAATAAAGAAATCAAAGAAATTTTTATGTTAGGATTGGGATAATAATTTCAAGATTCCAGTGACTCTATATGTACTCATAAAAGTGACTAAATAAATTATTATCAATTATTAAGTGCACTAGAATACAAATACAAATACTGGAGCAATAGTTAGTAAAATTTCAACACATTCATTTCTACCGGTATTGACGTGCAAATTCATTTATTTTGTAATTTATATCCGTCTCATATACAGCTTTAAAATACGCAAGGAGAGTGCTTTTTAAAAAAATATAAAATTATTCCTGTCTTTTTACAAAAAGCTCATACATTAAATATTTTCGTTAGGTCGGTACGAATGTAATTACATCGAAATGTATGAACGTAATTACATCGAAATGTACGAACGTAACTAAACCGAAATGTATGAACGTAACTACGTCTGTCAGTATGAATGTAATTACATCGAAACGTATGAACGTAATTACATCGAAATGAATGAATGTAATTGCATCGGGATGAAGAAGAGGTATGTAACAGATCTAAATACATCCGAATGTTTTCACTTTCAAGATATTGTCGCCTGAAGTTCTAATCTCTAATTCTTCGTTCAATTAGCAACGTTTTAAATTGCGTTATATTTTTGAGCCTATCGAATTTGCATTCGTGATTTTATTTCTGACAAATATGTAAATCCAATATGTGACTGATGACATTTTCAGCGAGCATATAGATTACAGTGACCTAAAAACTGTATTGTTCGAATTTTCGTTACATGCTCGGATAAAAACATCGAAAAACCAGATTCACCCAATTGATAATTCAAGAAAAAATTTATTTTGCACATTATATAGCGATTCTAGTCCTTTCAACGTCTAAAAAATATTTAACTCGTTGGTCCAATTTGAACAAAGTTATTAGAAGGTGTTTATTAGGTTATTAAAATTGTTTAAGTTGCTTATTAAATATTTGTTCACGATTGTATGCATTTTTCTTCGAAGCAATTCTAATAATATAATAAATAAAATAATAATATAATATTATATGATATAATTTATAATAATCAATTTCCTATTGTCAAAAATGCATAAAAATCTGCAATCTAGTCACAATTATACGAGTATGATCGCTTTCGAGTGATTAAATTCCAGAGTGCATTCATGCGTCAAAGCGAATCTAACGCGGCAATAGAAAAATGCATGCTTGAGCGTTGCAGGGAACGCCCGAATGGCTGAAACACAACAAAAGGAAGAAACAGAGTGTATATTATATATATATAGGAGGGTTTTACCTGCAGAAGATGCAAATCCATTCCAGAGTGCGGTGCAGCGACAGGAAATAATGCAACGCCATGGTCGATTGTGAGTGGCTGCACCGGTTTGTAGGAATCGAGATCGAGGTGATAGTCGTTCTCGTCGCATTCTTCGACCATGTAGGTTTGCTCGATTGCGGTCGTATGAATGCTCAGGGTGCGATGGAGTGAACTGGTCGTCGCATCCTTGCCGCGCGCGTGTCGATGCTAAACAGAAATGCAGCCGGTCCTCATGAATATTTAGAAACCTTTCGGCGATGCTGTATATTAATTTCGCATTTCTATTTCAAGACCGTGAACGAGGAAACTCGCGGAACACCCCGCGATCTCTATTAACGGATTACGCATCTTTGGCATTTCTGCGCGCCCGTCGCAAATGCAACAGAACCGACTGCAGCAAAGGATCAACTTTAATCCTGTTATTCTGTTTACGTAACTGCTACATTGTTGCAAGTGATGCACGCCGCGCTCAGAAAACGTGACCATAGATCACAAGATCTTCTGCAGCTTGCAGAACACGGAATTTAATCTCCGACGCGATTGCATTTTATTTTTTCATCACTAGCGAAGCAAATTTAATTTTCATTAATTATTGTCGCTACGGATTATTGCGCAGACAATTTTATACTAAGTTTTACAGCCGCGATAAGAAGAGAAGATGAATATTGTAACTTTTTAACATGTTCGCTACCAGCGTCACACGCGCCCGACTCCCATGATTTTGTATTTCACGCGAAGAACGTCAAATGAACGTTGTGAATATAATTATTGAAAATTATGACACGTAGCATGATATTTAGAGAATTTATAGCTTTTATTTGGCGACATTTTTATCATATTTTATAAGAGGATATTGGGTTGTTGCAAAATTAATTTCGGCATTTCTGTAAATTATCTATTTGGAAAATTGAAATTACATTTGCAATAACCCAATAACATAGTAAATACAATAAATAAATATAACTAGATACACGATGATGCATTTGTAGCATATTCAGATCTCCTAAAGTGCAAGAAAATGTATAATCCAACAAGAACTAATTGTAGTTTTACTTTCTTTTTACAACGAGCAATCTTTTAGTCGACAAAGGGAATTTTTCTATAATTGTGACTTTCACAAAATAACGCATGAGTACTCGCAATCTAATTAGAACCGACGAAAATCTACAGGTAGCAACCTGATCTATTAACAAAGATCATTAGTAAACGAAATGAATTTCATGTATTCTACTTTTAGTGATCCCGTGTGCGCACTGATTGGCAAACAGCTGAGAAACGTATGGAACTCGTCCAAAAACCCAGGACTCATGCTAGAGGCTCTGGTCTCGCTAAGTGGATCTTGGTATGCGAGTTAGGTATCCTTTGCAGATCACATGTCCGAGTGTGAACAACACGTTAGGCACGACTTCCACGACTATATTACGCTGGTGCGTCTGCATGTTTGTCAAACGTAGCAGCGTAGTGGAGCGAGAATGGAGCGAGGAGACTAGAGATAGAGCCGCGGGCTATTCCAACGATGTGGTGGCAATAGCTCTTTAGCTGCCTTGACAGCTCCAACTACTTCTGTCGCTAGACAATGGTCCTCGGCCATTGTCGAGTACCTAGCAGCGGGCTTAGACGTAAGACATTCGCCGGTGAGTAGATAAGAAGAGGTTCGTTTGCGAGTTTTGCTACGCGGATCAGTCTGGCCAACAAATTTTCACTTTTCGTCGCGTCGTGCCCGTTTTCTTTTACTGCTCAGTGATCCTCGAAACGACTTTTCTGTAGCCAGAATTCGAGTTTTCATTGGACCTCCACTAAACTTGGTAGTCGAGGGTTGTCGAAGACTCGACTGTGGATTTATGTGCAAAGTGTACATTTCCTAAGTTCGTCGTCTGAAAAACGTGTATTCCCATTTTAATAAGTCAGATACCTTGTGAAAATAGAATATCTAATTATTAGTTAGTTGAGTTGTAATTAATATTTCATAGCTTTGTATTTCTCGTATCTTATTTTTGTGACGAGTACATAGAATCCACAGTATACTAATAATGAATCTAACGCCACGAGTTCAGGATCATATAGATTCAACGCACTGTAATTGCTATACTTATACTAAGAAATGTGTGACAGAGAGTATACATAAACTGTATGCAAAAAATAACTATGTAGCAAGATGTACTTCATACATAACAGAATATTATTATACATATAGAGTTTTATACTCGGCAACATGTGACACCAAACAGAATGTATCAAAGTGTATCAATGTAATTTCTCTGTATCATAGAGTTATATAGTAATGTATTTATATAGTTATATATTTATATAGTTACGTATTCACATAGTTATATAACTACGTAGTTATGTATTCACATAGTTATACAGTTACGTAGTTATGCGCAGTATTTACATCTGTCTCTTATACACATCTAGATGTGTATAAGAGACAGATGTAAATACTGCGCATAACTACGTAACTGTATAACTATGTGAATACATAACTACGTAGTTATATAACTATGTGAATACGTAACTATATAAATATATAACTATATAAATACATTACTATATAACTCTATGATACAGAGAAATTACATTGATACACTTTGATACATTCTGTTTGGTGTCACATGTTGCCGAGTATAAAACCTGTCTCTTATACACATCTAGATGTGTATAAGAGACAGATGTAAATACTGCGCATAACTACGTAACTGTATAACTATGTGAATACATAACTACGTAGTTATATAACTATGTGAATACGTAACTATATAAATATATAACTATATAAATACATTACTATATAACTCTATGATACAGAGAAATTACATTGATACACTTTGATACATTCTGTTTGGTGTCACATGTTGCCGAGTATAAAACCTGTCTCTTATACACATCTAGATGTGTATAAGAGACAGATGTAAATACTGCGCATAACTACGTAACTGTATAACTATGTGAATACATAACTACGTAGTTATATAACTATGTGAATACGTAACTATATAAATATATAACTATATAAATACATTACTATATAACTCTATGATACAGAGAAATTACATTGATACACTTTGATACATTCTGTTTGGTGTCACATGTTGCCGAGTATAAAACCTGTCTCTTATACACATCTAGATGTGTATGAGAGACAGTAGTTATATAACTACGTAGTTATGTATTCACATAGTTATACAGTTACGTAGTTATGCGCAGTATTTACATAGCTATAGAGTTACACAGTTATGTATTTATATAGTTACATAGATACATAGTCATCTATTACACAGTTAATAGCTACATAGTTGTGTATTTACATATTTACATAGCTAGATAATTATGCATTCATATAGTTATATAATTACATAGTTATGTATTCATATAGTTACATAGTTACAGCTAGTTGTGTATCCACATATTTATATAGCCACTTAGCTATGTATTCATATAGTTATATGGCCATATAGTTATGTATTAGCATAGTTACATAGTTACATAGTTGTGTATTCGCACAGTTATGCATCCACATAGTTACATAGCTACATACACTGTTATATAGCTATATAGTTGTGTATTCACAAAGTTACATAGTCAGATAATTTTGCATTCACATAGTTATATAGCCACTTAGTTATGTATTCGTTATATAGCCACATAGTTATTTATTCAAATAGTTACATAACTACATAGTTATGTATTCATATAGTTGTACATTTACATAGTTACGTACTCACTTAGTTGTGTACACACATAGTTATTTAGTTACGAATCACGCGTTGCAAGTACTAACGTTCACTGTATCATTTTGAGAATCCTGCGATTCTAGATCACTTTTGAGAATGAACGGAGGCTACTCGAAAGCCCCATGTGTTCGCTGTACAAGGAAATAGCAATACAAGTGTTTTAACACTTTAACGGGCGTTATCCCGTATACGTGACTTAGCTCCTCTATTCAGTGGTTATCAGTCGCTGTCACGTGTGCGTGATTTTAATCTTTCGTACATTATGCCATCGTCCACTAAACTTATCTAGCGTTTGTTTAAGTTCAGGTCTTTGCCCGTATATTCATGAGGGTATCTAGGTTTATATATGATATCCAGCGACGCATAGTCCCGCCGACGTGTAGATAGTAAACGAAAAATTAGCTACAGTATGCGCACAACAATGCAACTTTATCAAGATAAAATGTCGCAACTTCTTAAATAAAAATGGAAGAGCTTGACTTATCGCATAATACTTAGTATAATACGAGTAATCTTTTACGTTTAATAATACGAAAAATCTTTTTGTGTACTCCCCTTTAAAAATCAATGGCTGGATAACACTTGAGACAACAATATTATATTTTGGTCTTTGCATTATGTAGTGGTTAAAATAATATAAATGCAATATACATAGAAGTTCTCTTCGTGCTTCACTTTTAATATTTTGTCAGTGATTGACAATATATATAATAAATCATCCTCATGGTAAATTTTTAAAGTTAACACTTAAAACAATCGTATCAAATGTTGATCTTAGCATATAATATAATGCTTAGAATAATATAAATATAATAATTAAATTCACTTTGTTTTTTCTTATTTAAGATTTTAACAATGATTGATAATGTGTAAATTATTCATAGCTAAATTTAGAGTTAACACTTAAAACTATGACGTTAGATTTTGATTTTTTAGAATATTGCCGTAATGTTTATAAATTGGTATTCGTAGTAAAAGAAGCTTTACTCGTAATTAGTTGCAGCGCAACGAGAAATTCGTTAAAAGCAGGATACTCATTTTGCACCGCGAACATTACTTTATTCGAAACAGTGGTCCACTGAGAAATGGTTTTCAAGCGTAGCAACACAAAGGAAGCTGAGATCAGTCACAAGATTTTCATCGTTTCTTTTATTATTCAATTTCAAAGGATTCGTTTCAAACCATTCGTTCACGTTTATTCAGTTGTTTCTTAGGAAAATATTCATAATGCGAGATGAGAATAACAGAGAGATTGATTTTACCTTATGGAACTCGGCAATCTTCTCGAGGACAGACTTTGCATCGCGAACGGGAGTATCCTTCTCTGGCTTGTCCAAGGAGCTGTTCCTAGATATACATTCCGTTGGCGATTCCGCGATGGTTTCGATTCTCGCAATGTGTCTCGCGGTCGGCACGTTTTCGGGGTCCTTGATCCGCGACAGCTCGCGGATGTCCTTACTGTCATCCCGAGGCTGCAACAAAATTATTTTCGAAATTATTCGTACTTCGCTGAAAATGTCCATTGTTTAATCAGAATATACGTCATCATATTATAATATTCAACAGGTGAATATGAATCTGAAATATCAAGAATATAATACTCCATATTTTATTTTGTTCTTATAGTGTTTCTTGACACAATTTTGGAAGACTAAGTCTAAATATAAATGAAAATTAAAATTGTACTTAATAGAGATGCTCAAATTGATTATTGGATTAACCTAGTGTAGAACTCAAACTTTTCATTTTTGAAACACGTAAATGACTTCAAGGATACAAATAGGATAAAAATTAGTATGCTCACTGTATCATTGTTTACAATATAGTGTATTTTTGTGTAAAATATTATTTTGAAACGTTTAAGGCTTCTGACTCCTCCTTTCAATACAACTAAGAGTACATTAATTTTACCAGAATCAAGAAAATAATCAGAACTGCTTTATTAAGAATACAATAAAATCATTCGTTTAAGATTCTATTAAGAAGAATACTATGTACATATGTAAAATGATATGTACATATTGAGAAAA